GCGTACCACGGGGACTTAGCCCCTGAGAGTCTTCGCACTCTCGAATCGGCGAAGAGCAGCGGCGGGTTGCTCGTAGTACACGGATGTGTACGGGGGTACGATCACCCCTTTAGAATCTTGATTGACTCTGGGGCGTCGAAGAATTTCGCACGCCGCCAGACGGTTGCTCGTAACAGCAACAAGTTGTCCGAAGCTTTGCGAGAAAGCAAGGGCAACGGGACGGTGTCAGTGCGACTGGCCGACGGGAAGGTCGTCACTGTTCCCAACGTCCAAGTGGATCTGGCCGTCAAGTTTGAAGACTTTGACAGCCTCGAACAGTTCACTGTTCTCGATATGGATCCATATGATATGATCCTGGGCATGCCCTGGCTTGAGAAGCACGAGCCCTGGATCGACTGGCGAGGCAAGGCAATCGGTGCCAGCCGCCCTGCGCAGTCCGACAGAGCATTGGTGAGTCATGTTCCCACCTCTGTCAGGACCCGGGGCGCCCGCGAGGGCTGCCAGGGTACCAAAGCATCCGGCAGATGCTTGGGAGTCGTCGACGTATATGACGACTCCGAGGATGTTTTGATGGTGGCCGCGCCCAGAAGAGGCGCCGGCCAAGTGGGTAACTTAGGTCCACAGGCGGGTAACTTAGTTCCGCAGACAGCTGCAGCTGTCATGAACACTGAGAACAGCGTGTTCAGAGTGGGTAACAGAGTTCCACTCACGGTCGCCCAGACCATAACTGAAGAGGAAGACGTCGGATACGCTTCCTGTGTGGGTAACACAGTGCCACACGCGGTCGCCCAGACCTTAACTGAAGAGGAAGGCGTTGAACACGCTTCCTGTGTGGGTACAACAGTACCACACGAGGCCACGAGTGCCTCGGATGTCGTAGCGACGACATCCCTAGACGTGGGCAGCAAAGCTCCCCGTCACAGAAGCCGTCGGCAAAGACGCCGCCGCCGCCTCAAGTCGGATCCGAACTTCGTTCCGATCGACGTCGCTTCAAGCGACTCGGAGTCCAGGGCCCGGGCTCCTCCGACAAGGCCGGTGGAAGAGTGTTATCACATCTTCGATAGCGAGACGGGTTTACCCGTCAAGGCATCTGGTGTCCACTTGGAACCGTTGCCAGAGGTTGCAGAGATACTGAACCTCGAGGAAATGACGGCTGAGTCTTTCCTGGCCAACCTCAAGGCTGGAGAGATCGCTGAGATGGTACTCATGAGACCTGAGACCACTCAGGAGGAGCTGAACTCCTCCTCTGTCTTGGACGAGAACGTCCTGGAAGACATGAACAAGCAGCGTCAGGCGCGCTTGGGTTCTGAGATTCTCAAGAACCCCAAGGATCCGGTGTATCCTTTGGTGACGGAGTATGCGGACGTGGTGAATAAACACCCACCGACCCAACTCCCACCGGATCGAGGCGTACGGCACGAGATTGATCTCGTGCCCGGCACAAAGTATTGTGTCACGAGGCAATGGCCTCTCCCGCGCGAACAGTGCGAGGTCATTGATGCCTTCTTCGCCGCGAAAGCGAAGGCAGGCATGGTGCGGGAGTCGAAATCCCCGCACTCGACGCCGACTTTCTGCGTTCGTAAGCCGAACGGAAAGTGGCGTCTGGTTCACGCTTATAACAAGCTGAACAACGCAACGGTGCCGGCCCAAACACCGATCCCACGAAAGGATGTGTTGTTGAACAACATGGCCGGGAGCGTACTGTACAGTGCGCTGGATTTGGTAGACGGATACTACCAAATCCTGATGCGAGAGAGTGACATCCCGCTCACCGCGGTAAGCACTCCAAGCGGCATGCTTTGGGAGTGGCTCGTCATGCCGCAGGGCTTGTCGAACGCCCCGGCGACGTTCAATCGCCTGGTGACGCAATTGTTCCGCCCTTTGCGTACCTTCGTACAGACGTACTTCGACGACATTTTCGTCCATAGCCGTGCCGAGGGAGGCAAGACGGCCATGGAGGTGCATCTAGGACACCTCCGTCGAGTGTTGGACGTGATGCGAGCGAACAAGCTCTACGCCAACATCGACAAGTGCGTTTTCGCGTCACCAGAGATCAAAGTTCTCGGTTGCTTCGTAAGCAACGTGGGCGTTCGGGCTGATCCAGACAAGGTCAAGGCCATAGCAGCATGGCCGACGCCCCGATCCCAGAAGGATCTTCGAAAGTGGTTGGGTTTGGCCAACTACCTTCACAAGTACAGCGCTGGGTACGCGGGCTTCGCTAAGCCCTTGTCGAGCCTCCTTCAGAAGGACGTCGACTGGCGCTGGGAGCAAGAGCACCAAGATGCTTTTGACAGCATCAAGGCCAGTCTCCAAGAGGCCCCTGTCCTGGCTCTGCCGGACGAGACGAAGCCGTTTAGCGTCGTCTGCGATGCCTCCGATTACGCCATCGGGTGTGCATTGCTGCAGGACGACCCGGCTGGACAGGAACGAGTCATCTCATTCCAGTCCAGGCAGCTCAAAGCCGCCGAGCGGAACTACCCTGTCCATGACAAGGAGCTCCTGGCAATGAAATATGCGAA